ACAGAGTGAGACTCCAACTCAAAAAAACATTTAAAAAAAAAAAAGAATTAAAAGATCGCCACCCGCAACCCCAACGCACAACTGAACAGTAAGGTTGCTAATGTCACAGCAGGAGAGAGGACGAGGCAAGAGAAGCCTCCTGATAAAGCGTACACTACCACCTATGAGCAGCACTGCCTACGCTAACAAACTAGAAGCCTCTAAGTCTCTGGAGCCAATTACCACCTCTTGGGAAATACAGAAGTCAGAGAAATACGGTAAATTCCCCCATGTGTATGCAATCAGCAAAACCCAAACTTCACAAAACTCTATGGGACAAATAATCCAATTTAATCAACAAATACTTCACAAAGGAAATTAAAGAGAGATGGAGGAAGAATGTATAGATTAAAAGAAACTCAAAAGATACATTAAATAAAAAAGGAGTAAAACAGGATAAAATTTTTAAAGATGAACACTAGGTCAGGATGTATTTTTTCTTGGGGAGACTGTAACTGGGAGAAAGCCTTGAAGAGCCTCTGCGGGGCTGGCAAGGTTCTATCTCCTGACCTGGGTGGAGATAAGCCTATCCGTCTTCAAATAATTCATTTATATATATATATATTTGTTTATGTGACATATCCATTTGTATTTTAATCATAAACATGTTTAATGAAGTGCTTGTGTATATATACATAAAACCTATAAATCTGATTTTTCCATTTGTTAATTTGATCATACCTCACCCACAATTTATATAAAATATACACACACACACATCTCAAATCTAACCACCAGGCATATCTTTTTAGAACAAAAAGATATGCACCTTACACTTTTCTGAATGTTAAAGAAAGCAAAAGAAAAACTTACCACAGACTAGCTCCAAAGACTGGAAAACCAATTGCACCATGGATACAGGGTTAAGTGCTGGTGAATCAATATAAAAAAAGATCAATGCCTATTAGAAAAATGGATAAAGAACATAATCTGGTAATTCACAGAAAAAAACTACCAATTACCAAAAAAGACAATTAATCTGACAATTAATACAGACCAGGATTGACAATACCCTATATAGTATTGACTAGGCTATAGGAAAGCCAGTATTCACATTACTGGTGAAAGTGTAAGATAACAGAAATCTTAGACATAAATTTGGCTTTTTCCTCCATATTTTCAAGGCATATGCTTCGAGCAAATCTACTTCTATTAATTCCTTCTACAGAAAGCTGAGAAATAGAAGACAGATACAAAAATGTACATAACAATGTTTATAATAATAAAAAATGAGAATAATCCAAGTGTCCACTAATGTGAGATTTAACTAAGCTATACAATGAGGCCACCCAAAAGAATTATGTGTACTTACCCAAAAGCTCTCCACAGCCTAAGTGCAAAAGGTAAAATGCACATCAGTGTACAATGATGCTCGTGGGAGTCCTATACCACTATTCTATCAAGGGTAAACACCTATATAATTCTAACACTGGGCTGAGAAGATGTGGCAATTAATTAAACTATATTACCATCCATACCCTTCTGAAGGATAGCCTGCAGGGTTATGAACATTAATATCACTTCACTGGTGCTATGAAAGAACATATGACATTGTACAGTCTACCAGAGCCAAGCATATTATCCTGGGGCCCAACGGGCTGTGATGAATTGGAAACCATCAGTTGGTCAGTCATCTTAATCTGAACCTAAGTCACATGGAGCCGTACTACCTGACAATATTTAATAAGTTACCACAAGATGGGCCATAAGAGTTGAAAATTAAACACACTTCATAAATACCTCACATAAATTCATGACTGGTGGTTACCAGGCAGTCATGCCTGGCAGTCACAGATCCTTGTCACCAAGCTATTACTGCTTATTGGTCCTCTGCTGCCACTGTACCAAACACCAACGCTTTCACTTTCTTTTGGGAGGTGACCGAATTCAGGGTTTCGCTTTGCTTAAAAATAGTATTGTACCTTTCTGTTCCCAAACAACGGGAAGGGTTGAATGGTGGAAAGAGTCAGAGATCACCGGTCAAGCTTGACTTCAGCAGACCAAGGACTTTCTTGGCCACTTGACATTGACAACAGAATTGGTTGACTTTTTCATCCCAGAAAATAATTTACTTAAGCTACAGCAAGATTCAGAATAAAGTAGAATATCTTTGGATCTTTTCATTTTGTACTCTCATGAGATTGTTTTGCATGCCTGCTCCTCTGTTCTGTCTGTTAGAAAAACAAAGTCCTCTCCTAGTGCCCAAATAAGAAGGCACAGCTGTAGCTGAATGCCATCACTCTGCTCAATCACCTTGAGATTAAATGTTCAGACAGTTACTAGATAATGTGGGACTGGGCAAATCATCTTCTCCGAACCTGTTCTTCACTAAATGAAGATAGTAAGAAGCTGGGGACATCAGAATGAGACATAAAATACTTACCTAGGCACAGAGCACGCACTTAGTTAGTTTCCATTTGTGCACTGTATCAAATCAGGTTATTTTAAGGAACACACGTTAATTAAACAACATATGAAGAAGCCAAAAAAGAAATGGCGACTACTAATTCTTTGCACACTAGATAACTAGTATAAAGTTTTATCATAATATAAACATTCGCTGCCTGATTCTTGGATCTGAAAGCTTTAACCAAGGTGGCCTAAGTCTATGGAAAGACTGCTCCTACCGCAGAGAATAATTAACTCTATGGTGTCACATCATTCCTGCTTTAGAGAAGATGGTAAGCAATGACATTCTATAGGAGAAAGAGTTCTAGGTAACACCACCACCACTACTATCCCCTGGTGTCACCACCTTTCCTCTCCTCTGAACACAGAAACACGTACTAAAATTGGGCCCACACACGTAGAGCTGTGTGTGTGCACTCTGCTTAGAAACACACACTGACAGAAGTTCAGGCAAGGCCCTTTTCCCCCTTGCTTGGGAATATCACTGCTTTTGTGGAGTGAAGAAGACCTCAAAAACATCTATTAACTCGCGCCCAAATTCTTTTCAGATGAAAAACAGTACATTTTCACTTGATGATAAACTCCATTTATTTGGTATCAGTTTCTAGTATCCACTACATGGGAAAAACTTTAATCATGACTATGCTTAATTATCAGTGGTGTCATTTTGGGGGGTAAAACAGGTTATTTTAATAGACAGAAAATGTGTCTTTTTCCATGCATTAAAACAAGGGGTTGGCAAACTGCAGCCTATGGCCAACTGCCTGTTTTTGTAAATAAAGTTACACTGGAACACAGCCCAGCCCTGAATTTGAATTGCCTGTGTCAGCTCTCATTCAGCGAAGGTGAATGTTTGCAACAAACATATGTGGCTCACAAAGGCTAAAATAGCTACTATCTGGTCCTTTAAAAAAAAAAAAAAAAAAAGGCAACCAACTCCTGCATTAAAATATTGCCATGCTGTAACTTTAGTGAAACTTCACTGGAAAGAAAAATGAGAACACAAAAAATACAAATGACATGCTTCCTCTGATTCAGGCACTTTCAAGATCATAGTTTATTTATTACTTCAGATAAAAAGATAGTATACATATTAGGGAATCCCTTAAAATTTAACTCTAGAGTTATACACCATCTAGTACTTTTGCATTGAATGTTAACAAAAAAAGCTCTAAACACCTGAAAGCCCCACTATTATAACATGAACTATGGTAATAAAAAATTTGACGTTTAATTTTTTCAATGTATAGTATTTACATTATGAAACCAATGGTGGTACGATAAACAGTGATAAAGAAATAGTAAAAATAAACTTTAAAAAGCAAAGGTTTATAGTCTTACGATGCTAATTATCATAATTGTATATAAAAAAATTAAAACATAGCAGAGCTTTCTGTTACAAAATTCTTAATCATCTGAGTTGTAATCATTACTTGCTACCAATTTACATGCAACATCTGCTGGGACTGACATTTGATTGTTTTCCCCAAGAAAATGTGAGTAGATAAATGACATTTCTGAGCAGACATTAATTTACTTGTGAACAGAAAAGGAAAAAAACTGTACTCAAGATTGGTACTGGTCACAAGCCTCTTCCCTACAGAAATTATAAAAATAGAAAGACAAAAAAAAAAAACCCAAAAAGGAGATGCATAGGCAAAGAGTACCATGAATGGCACAGCTCAAAAATTCCCAGGATCAATCTGGCACTCAGCCTTTCTCTCTCCTTCAATGATGAGAGGGCTGTTTTGCCATCAAATAACAATGACTGAAGCAAGTGAGGGGCACCAGGTGTACAACTAATTAAATCTTGCAAAATACTAAGATGGGGACAGGGTGGCCAGAAGGGGCAATTTATATATAATCCAAACTATATACAGCATAACTGGAATGCAGCCCATCCCAAACTGGCTTTGTGAAACAATTGGACCTTTATGATTTAATAGTTAAAATTATAACAAGTGTAATAATACAATAGATTTACATGGGAAGCAAAATTCAAGGGGCATTTTATATTAAGTATTTACTGTGCTGTTTCAATTTAAAAATACTTTTGCTAAGTATACATCTCAACTGAGGTCTCTGTATAAAATGTCCTAATAGATACAGATATTTACCTTTGGTGAGTTGAAGGCCTTTTTGTGACTTCTGTCTGAATTGTAGGCAGAATGCTAGATGTACATGCACATGTGGGAAAACTCAAACTGAGGTCACCCAAGATCTGCGCATGTGCGGAGACTGGAGGTACTTTGAAAGTCAAAGTAGACCAGAAACCCAAAACAGGGAACAGTGAGAATGGCAACAGGAAATGGAATGCCAATATGGCAGTAAAACTTGTTAAGAACATAAAGAGAAGGCCTCTCGTACCAGCAGAATCCTGCATACATAGAAAAAAGAAAAAGCCACCCACCATTTTGTAAAACAAAAGCCAATTCTAGTGTGGGAAAATACAAATCGCAGAAAACCAGAAGTCAACAGAAGAGCAACTACTGGTTGACATGAGAGAAAGGAGAAAGTTTCATTCCAGGCAGAGTTACTTGGTGAACGCTGCCACCACCGCCCACAGAACCTCATTCGTGCTGGCCTTCAGACATTCCACTTCAGGGTCTAAGTCAAGGAGCTGCCGGACTCTCTTGGTGGCTAAATCATACTGCTCATCCAGAAGAGGAGCAAATGCGTTCTCCAGGACATCTGAGGCATGAGCGAGGTAAATGAGGGCCAGCAGGCGCTTGTCCATGCGGTGAGGGTCATTCACCCATTTGTCAAGAACAGCTTCCTGGACTTTCTTGATGAGGCGCTGCTTAATGTTGTTGTTTGTGAGGGGATGTGTCGTCATGTCAAAAAGTAAAAAGTTCTGTTTCTCTGTTGTCAATACGCCCTTTTCCACCAGGTTTTTAGCTAACCGTTCCCGCACATTTCTTAACTGATAATGCAATTTCAATGGATTCCACGTCTCACCTAAACAAAAGATATCAGAAGTTAGAAATGATAGGTTCTACTTGTTAATTTTGCAACACTTCTGCACTGTTAAAATAAATGATAAAATTTGTGGGGTTTTTTCCCGCAGAGAAAGAAAAGAAAATCTAACAATGTTTTTCTCCCTGACTAGACCATGATCCCTTCAGGGCAAGCCAAGCCTATGGATTCTAAGCATCAAGCACATTTTCAGGCACCGCAATCACTCAAGAGACTAAGCTGAAAGCAGTCTTCAAACCAGTCATCTTTAGTCTTATAGAAGTCAAATATTATGCTCCAGCCTTCCTCCAGCTGTTGTCAAAAAGCAGCCAATAACAAATATAAGTTTCTCTTCTGTTAAACATCAATCTGCAACAAACAGACCAAAGGAAAAAGAAGCTTCCTGATTAGTATGCTATTATTGAATAACTGCTACATACTCACAGCCTAAAAAGCTGGGAAAGCCTGTTTAGGCAATGCTAGTCTCTGATGACAATATGAAGCTAATTCTAAGAGAATTGTGAAACATGTTCACAATTTTAATCTTGATACTACACATATTTCCTTTTGAGACAGAAATACTTAAAATGAAACCAACTGATTTTTCACTAAAATGGTTGTTTTTCTTTATACAAGACTGGAAGAAAACACACCAAAATATTAACCTTGATTATCTTTGAGATTATGCATGACAAATTTTTTGGTACTTTGTTTCTTCCAAACAATCTTCAATGAACACATAACTATTTTTTATAATTTGAAAAAAATACTAAAGTATTTTTCTAAATTAGAATATGTTAAATATCAACCATAGGCACCTTTCTTAAATGCAATAAGCCATAAGATTGAAATTTTATAATACTGACAGAAAACCTTAAACTGTACTGTCCATTACTAGAGCCATTACCCATATGGAGCTATTATGTTTAGATTAATTTAAAAATTCAGTTCTTCAGTTATACTAGCCACATTTCAAGTATACAACTGGCCGGTGACCAGTGGCTAGTGACTGGACAGCATAGGAATAGAACATTTTCATCATCACAGAAAGTTCTAGTGGACTGTCTTAAAATGTTACAGTACTGTCCTAAAATATACTACCATTTTACTGGCCATACACACAATTACTGTAAATTCCCTACATACAAACAAGTTCTATTCTGAGAGTAAGTCCAATTTGTTCGTAAGTCCAACAAAGTTAGCCTATATACCCAAATAACCACAACTGGCTATATAGTTCTATAATATCATAGGTTTATAATACTTTTCACTCAAATAATACATTTAAAAAAAACAAAAAACAAAGAGAACATTTTAAATCTTACAATACAGCATGTGACAATGCACATCAGACACGTGAACTAACTTACGTGACTGGACATGCAAATGCGCATTTGCATCTTCGAACGTTTACAACTTTCAAAGTTCACATGAAAGGTACTTACTATATTTTACTCTACTTAATACCAAAGAACATGAGGCTGTGATAAGAGTGTAATCAGTCTTAGACTTGTCATCTCACCACAATTAGAAATCTGGATAAAACACATGAAACAAGAAACACAGAACACCCAGAATCATGATTCATGAGTAAAACCTACATGACCCCTATGACTGTCCAAGCTTACAACCTGGAGGCATATCCCAGATAGCAGAGCAAGAAGGAAAACCCCAAGCAGAACACAGCAGTCACACTATGCGAAGGCATCAGAGTTCAGGGTAGCTAAGGCAGTTGCAATGTGCAAGACAGAGGACTGGAGAAGAGGGGAGTCTCAGAATCTGCATGGTGTTCCCTTGAGTCCACTAAGTTGGATGTGTTAAGGTAAGAAATTCCGCAAGGCTAGGCCAAAACCAACTTCCAGAAAGCTGTAAGTTGAACAATTCCAAAAGTTCACACAGAGCTGGAAAAAATTTGAGTGCCAATAAGCCTGGGTAGAAAGGCCTCCCTGAGTACCGAGGACATTCAGAGAGGATCCCAGGAAACTAACACCTTAGAAGTAGTTCTAAACTAACCCCTGAGCAAAGACCACCCCAAACCTGCCCTACAAAAATAAAAACAAGCTGATCTAAAAATAACTTAGCTGCCTACTAAACCAAAATTCAGCACTCTTTTACTTTTTATTTTATTATTGTTATTTTTTAATTTTTTTGTAGAGACAGGTCTTGCTATGCTGCCCAGGCTGTTCTCAAACTCACAACCTCAAGCAATCCTCCCACCTTAGTCTCCCAAAGTGCTGACATTACATGCGTGAGCCACTGCACCTGGTCTCAACATTCTTTAAAGAAAGACCACAAAACTCAGCACTCAACAACTTAACATTCACAGCCAATTAAAAAAAAAAAAAAATCACTAAACTTGCAAAGCAGCAAGAAAATGTGACCAAAACCAAGGGGAAAAAATTCAACTGAGACAGCCAATCATATCAGACATGACCCCAGAAATGACAGAGATAGTGGAATTAGCAGAAGAAGACTTATAAGTCATTATAAATATCTAAATAGTTTTTAAGGAAAACGTATACAATGAAGACAACAAAATAAATGACCTAGAACTGCCATTCTACATTTTGTGATTTACTTTTTAAAACTCAGGAATTAAAAATTGTCAAAAATTCAATGATGAAGGTTGGTACTATGAATCAGTGGTAATTAAAGTCACCTCCTGCATTTAAAGAAAACATAACTTTCTCAAATAAAAAGGATTAATAAAATAATAAATAAGCCGGGCTCAGTGGCTCAGCCTGTAATCCTGCGCTTTGGGAGGCCGAGGTGAGTGAATTGCCTGAGCCTGTGGGTTCGAGACCCGCCTGGCCAACTTGGCGAGACCTCATCTCTACAATAAATCAAAAAATTAGCCGGGCGTGGTAGTGCGTGCCTGTAGTTCCAGCTCCTTGGAAGGCTGAGGCGGAAGGATCACCGGAGCCCAGCAGGTCGAGGCTGCGGTGGCCAGACGTGGCCACTGCACTCCAGTCTGGGTGACAGAGTGAGACTCCAACTCAAAAAATAATAATAATAAATACCTGAACTTCTGTAAAAGCCTATAAAAATTATAGTTCAATTCTAAGATTAACTAACTATACAAATAATAATTTGGGAATTATCAAAGAAGTACTATCCCCTGGCAGTTCTAGATAATTAAGTATTACTTCTTGAATATGTTTATGTTGCCAAAATATCTAAGTGTAAGAGAAAGATTCCCAGTCACCCGTATTTATTTTACCTTACTAAATCAAGGAGGAAGAAACTGGATGCCTCAGAGACCTCTTAAGTCACCTATTCCCATACAACATGGAAAAAAAATCAAGAGGTGAATTATCTTGAGAGATCTACAGATAAATTTATCCTTGCAGGCCTTTAAGAAAAACCCAAAATTCCTCTAGTGGTGTTCTACAATTATTTTTCTTTCTTTCTCATGGGAAATAAGCAGGATTGACAGTTTATTACTACTGCCTATTGTACTTAAGTCATCATCATCTAACTTAACTATCATCACCTTATCCTTAGTTAAGCCCTACATATTTCAGCCTGTGAAACATTACAACACTTACAAAATTAATTTCTGCCGGGTTCGGTGGCTCAGCCTGTAATCCTGCGCCTCGGGAGGCTGAGGTTAGTGGACTGCCTGAGCCCGCGGGTTTGAGACCCACCTGGGCAATTTGGTGAGACCTCATCTCTACAATAAATCAAAAAAATTAGCCGGGTGTGGTAGCGTGTGCCTGTGGTTCCGGCTACTTGGAAGGCTGAGGCAGAAGGATCGCGTGCCACTGCACTCCAGTCTGGGCGACAGAGTGAGACTCCAACTCAAAAAAAGAAAGAATATACATTGTAAAAAAACAACAACAAAATTAATTCCTATGAAAAATAGTTCAACTCCACAGAATGCAAATTTGCAATTTAATGTTGCTACTAAAAATGAGAAAAGCCTAAACACAGATGCACTTTCAAATACGCAGTTCTATTTATGACTGGATTTCTTTATAGGCAATCATTTAGGCCCCAGAGGAAGTAATAAAAAGGGACCCAGCCATCATCTTCTTTTGTAGCAATTCCCCAGAAGAGGGCAAACCTTGAGCGTTCCCTCTTATGAATAGTGGGTTATTCAGATCTCCTCAGATATTAGGAAAAGAATGAAGAAATCTCACAAGCAGAAGGCTAAAACAGTGTATCCCAAATGTTGTTTAATACCATTTGTGGTACACAAAAAAACTACAATGTAATAACTGAGTGGTAAGAATATCTAGGTATCCTGAAATGCCTGCCTTTTATTTTAAAAGAAATTAAGCTAAATCCAAATAATAAAAGTCACCCCTGAGTTTAGCATAATTAAGACACAGTGGCTGGACTCAGTGGTTCAGTCTGCAATCCCAGCACTTTAGGAGGCCGAGGCGAGTGGATTGCCTGAGTCTGAGGGTTCAAGACCAGCCCAGACAACTTGGTGAGACCTCATCTCTACAATAAATCAAAAATTAGCTGGGCGTGGTAGCACGCACCTTGTAGTTCTGGCTTGGAAGGCTAAAGTGGAAGGATCGCCAGAGCCCAGCAGGTGGATGCTGGGGTGGCCGTGAGCATGCCACTGCACTCCAGCGTGGGCAACAGAGTGAGACTCCAACTCAAAAAAACAAACAAAAAAGACACCAGTATAGCTGAGCAAGGTAGATCATGCCTATAACCTCAACACTTTGGGAGGCGGAGGCGAGAGAACTGCCTGAGTCCAGGAGTTCAAAACCAGCCTAGGCAACTTGGCGAGACCTCATCTCTACAATAAATCAAAAAATTAACTGGGCATGGTGACACACTCCTGTAGTTCCAACTTCTTGGGAGGCTGAGGCAGAAGGATTGCTTGAGCCCAGCACATAGAGGCTGCAGTATCTATGATCATGCCACTGCCCTCTAGCCGGGGCAACAGAGTGAGGCTCTGACTCAAAATAAAAAAGACACCAGTATAAAAGGGTATGGGAGATGGGGGGAGAGTAGATGACTTAGTAAAGAGAAGACACAATAAA